GGTGGGATGGTGGGAAGTCTGGCGGTAGTCCTAACGATGGTGACGATACTGGTCTAGGGCAGACTGCTAGGACCACTGACACTGTATCTCATGGGCTCGTGTAGGTAGATGAAGACGATGCTCACATGGGAGTGGTATTTGATCAGGCCAGCCTTGCCGGGGAATGGTGTGTCGAGTCTTGGTGATCGGCGCCAGGGTAATGATGCTCGATTGACCCCTAGGAGCCCCGGTGTTGGGGACTTATCGAGGAGGAGACGATCATTCATGGAAGGTGTTAGAAGGCGACCATCAGGCTTCTATAAGCCGACGGCGGCGGAGGACGAATTGCCGATAAATGACTTCAATGTTCATGGGTGAGTATGGGGGATGCTTATGGCCTTTTGATAGTAGTAGTAGTAGTAGTAGTGGTAGTAGTAGTGTTCGATTCGGAAAATAGAACACAATGGGTGGAGCTCGATAGTAGACACGGAAAGACTGCGGTGGACATTAAGGGGGAAACATTCATGCTGCCGTGAAGGTCTTCGCTGACCTCAGGTTACCAGCTGAGTGGGCGACTTTGAATCAGATGACATTGAAGAGTCTAAACGACTACACCTTCCATAGCAAACCGGGTATGGTCACTCGGCCTGGTCTGGAGATCTTCGAGTGAGTCCTAACCGGGGATCGAACCTGCGCCCTCTGGATTTGATATCTTCTCAGTTCTGGTGATGATAGTAATGCTGCGTACGAGGACGATGACAGTGATATATCTTTCGAGAGGAAGTATAATTCTGTAAGGCCCTCCAGTTTGTTCGATCGGCCATGGTCCTTGGCTAGGCGCCGTCAAAGAGTCGTCGCCCCCGACCTGTGTTCCGATTGCTGAATCGTGAGCGACCAATGAAACAGAGCACTGGTACTATGAGAATTGACAGGAAGAATCAGCTGCAGTCATTGTAAGTGCAGTGGTGGTGGGGTTGTTGCTGCTGTTCGTAGAGCTTTGGGTAGATACGTCAGCGACTTCTTCCACAGCGTGTTGGACACCAACACTAATGTGCTTATCGCCGGCATTCTAGTCTTGTAATAATGGGCATTTCAAAATCTTCAAGAAGGCTCTCCTAGAAAATT